AATTTTTCTTTTCTCTTTGGAGTGTTACAAGCTCATGGTGCATAAAGAAGATCGTTAAAGTTGCAAAGACTAAAGTCTCAATTCCAAAGAGATATTCTTTATAAAAGTGAACGCTCATCCACGCCTTCCTAAAACGCCTCGTTCAAACACGCCCCCACATGTCTACGTCACTGTGTGGGAAGGTTTGCATAACGCCGCCCAAATGTTCACGCAAAGAAAGAAGGCGTAACTTTTATTCTCGCTGTAGTATTGTTACCGCCGCCGCCATGTCGTGGAAGCACTGTGTGTTTCGTTTGCGAAAGCCAAATTACTTTGTTTGGTCTTCCAAAAGAGGACACAACTAGAAATCAGTGGTTAAGTTTTATTTACAACACTGTTCCAGAACAGTACAGTACATCCCAAATATCCGAGTGTGTGCAGCGCATTTTATGGAGGAAAGTTTCCTGAACTTGGTAAGGGGCGTAACATTTCTGTCACACGCTTGAGGTATTCAGCCAATCACAACGCACTAGATAGCTGGCCAATCAGAGCACACCGCACTTTTCAGAACGATGAGCTTTGTAAAAATCGATGCATTTCAGAAAGGCGGGTCATAGAGGAGCAACAGTAATGTACAGTATGTGGAAAATAATGTGTTTTTTTAACCTTATACGGCATAAACACATTGCATTACACTAAATACACAAAATAATGTTCTTTATAGCAACGTCATATGACCCCTTTAAAAATCTGGTATCTCTTCTTCACCCTGTCACCCGTAACGCAATTTTTATTTTCTTCCATGGTACGCTGAACGAAATATAACATATGGCCAAATATGCATGGACAGATTTGGTTTCCAGTAATTTTTTTGGGGAAAAATCTTCAAATCTTACTTCTATCTTTGGCCCCATTAAAGAAAGAAATTTGAGAGCAACATAAGGGTGAATAAATGCTGAAAGATTTTTTTTCCCCCATTAAAACTTCCAGACATATATCAGTCAGTAAACTCACTCTAGTGAATGTTTCTGAGTGTCTGGCCCCTCCTCATCTGTTCCACTGCTGATACTGATGACGCTGCCTGCAGGGCTCGGAGAGTCAGCGATCACAATGGTCTGTCTCTGCTTCTGAGACACGGTTGAGTCCTCGTACTCTGGTTCTGCTTTACAGCACACAGGCTCATCCTCTGGCACCACCTCAGATTCCGCCTCCACTACACAATCCGCTGCCGTCTCCTCTGTGTTTTTGGCACGGTCTACCATCTTTGGGGACTGGCATGATGAGTTTTGGGAATTGGTGCTGTGCATGAAGTTGTTACTTCTGGTGGGGATGATAATGATGAATTAGATGAGCATAAGTAGGCATGGCAAGAATGTAATAACCGATGTTGCTGGCTGATAAACTCTTGTAGGCAAAGTGTGTGATTTCAATTAATAAAATTAATTTGAAAATAAAGTAAACAAATAACTTCATTAACAGAGCAATAAACTGATTTGTTGATTAATGTTGCTAAAAGTGTCTTTAAAGTGTGTTTTGGGACTGAAATCTCCATAAACATTAACTTTCAAATGCTAAGTTGCTTGTGAAATGATTATGTCAAGGAATACTGGTTTATTTATTAATTGATGTATTTTGAATGAATATTTAGATATTTATTTAACATTTATATTTAAAAATAAACAATTAATTTTCTTTACAAATTAACCAATAAAAAGGTTTTTGGAATGCTGAGTAATGGATACAAATCAAGTGTATTGTGGGTGAAAGATATATATATATATATATATATATATATAGCGAATATTTCATTTTATTTTTTTATATACTAATTAAAAACCATCATTTTAAATCCATTAAAGTGGCAAGTGTTATTAAGTATTATGATAGAATATTACATTATTGAAAATAATATTTTATTTTATCATAATACTTAATTTTATATGGAAGCATAACTTGGGCAAAGTTCAACTTAAAATGTGGTAATATGTAAAAAAGCAATGTACACCTGTAGTTAAATGTATATATCCACTACCATTTTTGCAACATATACTGGTGCAAAATGAAAATTCAATAACGTAATTTGCATTTTGCACTATATTTAAAATGTAGATGCCCATTTGTCTGATCAATGCCCATTTACTTATCAATTGCAATTATTTATTTATTCAAACTTCTATAGTTTATTAAACCTGAAATAAATCAAATTAAAACATACAAATTGACCAATATATTGAGGATAATGTTTTAAATCTGGAGACCTGAAATCTCCAACAAAAACTGCAGTGCAATGCAATAAATAAACAATTTAAATGCACTACTTCTATAATGAACTGAATATTTACACTTCTTAAAAATGTCCATTTATTGGTCATTTTGTACAGTGATTTCAAAACCTGTTTTAATTCATTCATTAATAATTGGTAACTTCGAATTTCGATTTTAAGTGGCAATCCCAGTTCTCCATACATCAGCAGACTGTCTGGATATGATGTGGGGACTAACCTGTTTGAAGATGGTTTATTTCTCTTGTTAGCAGCTGGCTGTGGCCACACCACATGAGCGATCCCTATGCTGATAGGCTGGTGAGCTGACATGGCCATTGGGTTGGTTAACAGCGGCTGGTGGTGGGGTATCATGGAGCTGTAATGGTTGCCAAGGGAATGAACTTTTCTGCAAAAGATGGGAGAGAAACAAAGCCTTTCAAGGTGTATAAAGAAAGAGGACTCACACAAGAGTCTGAAACGTGTTACAACATCAGAACAATTGAGAGATAAATATAGCAGCGCAAATACAATGACAGTGAGACTCGTTTCACCAACCCCCAATCCGCTAGTCTCTGTGGACCTGCCACTGTTTCTGAGGCCATAGTTGTTGCTGAAGGCGCCACAGGGCCCACCTGAGGCCAGGTGGGCACCAGGATCTGCTGGGCACCATTTGACCACGCTTGCTGTAAAAAAAAAAAAAGATAAAACAAGTTGAAAAACAGCTTAACTTCATGTTACAGATAATTGAACAAAAAGGTACCCATGTCTCCACCTTAGAAATCCTTCTTTTGCATTTACCTGTGTAATGACCGCTGGTCTGATCTGTAGAGGCTGTATGGCAGAAGCTTGTGTCACCAATGGTATTGAGTATCCTGCTGGCTTTTTTGGGTTGGGTGGGAGACCTGTGACATGAGGCAGGTTTATTTTTGTTTACTAAAACAATTTTCATTACTTGAAATAAAACAAACAATAATTGAAAATAATAATAATAATAATAATAAAATAAAAATAATAAAATGTTATTTTTGTTTAAAGTTAAAATAGTAAAATAACTCAAACTAAACTTAAAACAATATAGACAGACAAAAACAACAAAATGAACTAAAACACTGACTTATTAACTATAACTAAAATCAAAATTAAAACAGAAAATATAATTAAAAAATGAGTTCAAAATATTAACAAATTGATCATAGTATAATACTAAAATAACATGACATGTATTATTATAGTGTTAAAAAACAAAACAAAAAAACATTGTAGTTAATCTAACATGCTTGAATCAGATAACTGAGGTAAAGTACCTTGCAAGGTTGGGGGACAGAGAATAAGCGCCTGCTGGAAAGTGTCACCAAACTGAGCACTTCCTGTCTGGAGAGGTATCCCAGCATGCATCAATGAAGGGGCGGATGAGGCTAAAACCTACAGAATGAGAAGAAAAGAGAGAAATCAAAACAAAAGTCTAAAAGATAAAAGTTTAAATGAGTGATATTCAGTTGCACATTCCTGTTCTGCATTTGCATTCTATGTGATTACCGTTTAATAACTAGGTACTAACCCTGAACCTAACTCTAAAACTTACCTTAAACCATGTAGTCACTACACATTTTCAGTATATTTTTGAGCAAGTACTGTGCACTGTAGTTGCAAACACCAAAATAAACTGCAACCTTATTGTATACTTTGATAGCTTTTATCTTTTGTTCCTTGCAATAAAGGTGCAACAAAGGATATTTGTTAGGACACACATTAAAGTGAACTGCATTCAAATGTCCAATAGGGGGCGACACAGCATTAATAGAGAACATCAGTACTGCCCTGATGAAGCTATTTAACATTACATAATTTTTTGTGTATGCCACATGTCCACATAATATGTAAATTAAAATAAATAAAAAGTTTTAGAATTATGTCAAAAGTGTATTTGCTTGGTTCTTATTATAATGAGAGAATCACACATAATTTCAAATGGCTGCAAGAAGTCACTGATGTATAAGGAAGCAACACAAGACTTCTGAACAAAATAATTTGTTATTATCAAGCTTTATTATTATTTTTTTTTTTTAAATGAATGCCTTTTTTATTGCACGTTATACTTAAATATATGTTGTGGAGCTATATGTTAGCATACACTATATGGGGGAAAGTACTGGGACACCTGACTATTATACCAACAGGAAAATGACATGGTATTCTAAATACATAAACATTAATATGGAGTTGGCCCCCTTTGCAGCTATAACAGCTTCCACTCTTCTGGAAAGGCTTTCCACAAGATTATGGAGTGCTTTGGTGGGAATTTTTGCCCGTTCATCCGGTAGAGCATTAGTGAGGTCAGGCACTGATTTTGAACGAGAAGGCCTGGCTTGCAATCTCCGCATCGGTTCGTCCCAAAGGCGATGGGGTTGAGTTCAGGGCTCTGTGCGGCCCAGTCAAGTTCTTCCACACCAGACTTATCCAACCATGCTTTTATTGACCTGGCTTTGTGCACTGGGACTCAGTCATGCTGGAATAGAAAAGGCCCTTCCCCAAAGTGTACCCACAAAGTTGGAATCATAGCATGGTCCAAAATGTCTTGGTATGCTAAAGCATTAAGATTTCCCTTCACTTGGAAGTAAGGGGTCTAGCTCAACCCCTGAAAAACAGCCTCATACCTTTACAGTTGGCACAATGCAATCAGGCAGGTAACGTTCTCCTGGTATCCACCAAACCCAGACTCGACCATCATACTGCCAAATAGAGAAGCAGGATTCATCACTCCACAGAACACATTTCCATTGCTCCAGAGGTCCAATGGTGGAATGCTTTATACCACTCTATCCGACACTTGGCATTGTACTTGACATTGTGTTGTGAGGCTTGCATGCAGCTGCTCGGCCATGGAAACCCATTCCATGAAGCTCCCGCTGCCTAGTTTTTGTGTTGTTATTAATGCCAGTGGAAGTGTGGAACTCTTCAGATATGGAATCAGCAAAGCGTTGGCGACTTTTATGTACCATGCACCTCAGCACTTAGTGACCCAGCTCTATAACTTTACGTGGTCTTCCACTTTGTGACCGAGTTGCTGCTTTTCCTAAATGCTCTTTTAATACAATTTACCAGTTTGCAAAACATGAATGTTGCAAAAGAGAGTCAAGGGGGGACACATTATGTTGAAAAAAAAACAACAACAAAAACTACCATGCTTAAAAGTTCATCAAAAGCATTAAAACGATCTCTGTGTGTTATCTCAGGTCAGTTTGGTGTGGGTAGAAAGTTTTTCTGCCGTGTCTCTCCTTGGAAACCGAACGCTCGCTCCACGTTGCCATGATGTCAGCAATGTTGCCATGGCAATGGCAATGAGGGCTCAAATTTGTGAGATACAAGAAAGACCACAATGCATAAGAAAAAAAAAAAAAAGAAGTCATTTACATGGACAGCTAAAAGAAATACGGCAACAAATATCATCCTACAAACTGCATCAAACGCTCATTTCTGACTATCGTTTTTAGGAGTAAAGATTATATTGAGGCTTATTTTAAATGTAGTCAGAGGCAGCATGTGTTGTGACAGTCATGTTTTGACAGCCTGTCATCACCTGCACTGAATGGTGCATGTCATGCGGAATGAGTCAACGTGACCCTCCACACATTAACAAAATAAGAGGCAAGAAGCAGAAGCTACAATAAAAGAACAAAGTGACAGGAGTGCAAGACAGAGCAAAAGGAAAAGAAAAAAAAAACACTGAAGGATAGATGACGTAATACTGTATCTGGCGGGCAAATGATGCAGGATATGAAAATGAAAGTGTGTGACAACCTTTACAGCAAACATTGCTGGTGGTACATACAGAAATTTCTGATGTTACACCCTGCAAGATCAAACATCTATTTGAAAATTAAAATACTGTCGACAATTTCTTCAGCCCTAACTGCAACCAGCATGTTATACTTGATAATGGTACTGTTGAAGCCCACTAACTGTGAAATTTGAAAGGCAACTAACTGTGAGAAAAGGTAACTAATGCAGTACTTTATATAAACAGTAACAATATAATGTAATCAGTTACTTACATCAAGAAAATTGTAATAAGGTAACCCATTTATGAATTTGGCAGGCAGTTTTATCCAAACAAAGCTAATATTCTTGAAAATAACCCAGCAGCAGTAACTATCTAGTTGACACTCAAACACAGTAAGTGGCAGTACTGCGCCTTCATGAAATGGAAAAAGATGCAAGTTTACATGCATCCAAATAATCCATTTATAATGTGACTGATGGCTTAATCCGACTGAAAAGCATTTATGTAAACAATCGATCCTAATTCAATTTTGATCGGATTGAAAGGGGTGTTGTAGATCTGAAATAATCCAATCAGCAGGAAAAATTAAGCATTATTTTCGGATTCACAGACCTCTGCACAAGAAATATGCATATTTATATTATATAAACATGCTTTGCTTATTTACATCTCACATCTTCTGAACTGAACACATATCTAAGTTTACTTTTTAGATGTCATCAAGGCAAAAATGACAATTATACTCATTACTGACATCGACATTACTGCGCAGACTTTCTCCAGTTCTGAACGCAGCAAAATTAGTGCATGTAAACATACTGTGCAGCTATTACTGTGTGACAGTTTTTTTATTTTCTATAGAAACTTATCATTAATTCATTTGGCCAAAATTACTGTGCAGTGAAAATCTGGTTGGTTGGTTGGTTGGCGTTTTAACACCATGTCAACTTTCTTTGCTATTTTCATGGCGAATAACATGTTGAAATAGTACAAAATACTATAAGGCTTTTAAAGTTTGCTTTAGGTAAAAAACTCTAAAAATGGATTCAGTGTGTCTGTGGAGTATAATAATTTCCTACAGAAACTTAAACCAGAACAATTTAACTAAAATATTTGAAAGAGATGCTGGATTCTGGCATGAAGAGCATATCGGTGGATCTTCATTCGATAGTAAGAACTTGTGATTCTGGAATGTCCTTTTCAGCACTGTGTATATATGATCTGACCCAGGGATTATTAAAAATAAAGATGTGACTTTTACCCACAGTAGAGTTTGGTGAAGATCTGACATTGTGACAGCCCTACATTCAAGGTATTCATTTATTCCTTCATCATATCAGTTAATGCATTCCTGGGAACCAAACCCATGCTCTAATTTTTAAGCTACAGGAACATAAAACTTTGAGGCCTTCAACACATGCGTCATGCACAGCTTTGATCTTCACTTGAAAAGTATTGCAGATAGCATCACAAACGCTGTTTTTACAAGGTTGCTGGGTAACAAGAAAACAGGAAGTCTATATAATAAACAGTGAAAACAGTGAAAGCAAACAAAGTTTGCCATGAGCAAAAATATGAGCTGATTTTCATGTAGAAATACAAAAAAAAATTCTTAAGTGCTCACAAGCTTTTTAACAGCACTGTAATGTTCCTGACAGTAATGGCAATGCTTTCAATACCTGAGTGTGAATGCCGGTCACCTTGCAGAAGGGCAGGGTAATGTTGGGTGCTGCACCAGTGCTCGGGACAGTCCTGACAAACGAAGGCTTGGTCCGACTGAGAGACTCATAACTGCCTGGTCGTGAGCAGCACACGTCCATAATGTGAAAACACGATTTGACACTATAAAGAGAGAATTCAGAACACAAAACCTCTGTCAAACTGCTTTTCCTCAAAAGTCAGAAGGACTGAATCATAAACAAGGTTAAGGAATGAAAAGCCACTCACTGGTTGCTGTGGGGGAAGTCTAGCAGGTGCTGCATGGTAACAAAAGGATGGCTAAGGGCATCATTCGGGGCGATTCTTTCCTCTGCATCTATGAACAACATCTTCTTCAGCAAACCCACAAACTCTGCACGATCAACCTTCTCTGCCAACAAATCACAGCCTTCCAGATTCATCACTAGATTCACCTGAAAAAAAGTCAAAACAAACAGTTAGTTAGGTTAGTCATACGGAGTCATACATAGTATCTGCACAGACAGAAAGCATAGCTCATTTCAACAGAATCCTAATGGGTTTATTTATTTATTTATTTTTACTTCAAAAGAAATTAATAGTTTTATTTAGCAAGGACACATTCAAATTTAATCAAAACTGACAACATTTTTTTTTAATTATTTTTAAATAAATGCTGTTATTTTGTACTTTCTATTCATCAAAGAATCCTTAAAAATGCATCACGTTTGGCTAATAATTAGAAATGTTTCTTAAGTACCAAATCAGCATATTAGAATGATTTCTGAAGGATCATGTGACACTGAAGATTAGAGAAATGGCTGCTGAAAATCCAGCTTTGCCATCACAGGAATAAACTACATTTTAAAATAAATTAAAATACAAAAGTTATTTTAAATTGTAATATTTCACAATATTATTGTTTTAACTGGATTTCACTGGTCACCATGACTTAAATCTTTCATCTCCACCCTCATCACCCCACCAAAAAAAGTGATTGATTTCAAAGAGCAAGAAAAAATAAATACAAAAGTTTGCTTTACTTTTAAATATGTATCCATTCCACAGATTTGCCTTCACATACACCTTAGAACACTTGGGGGAAAACAATAAATAAATAATCCAGACTCAATGTGGTCCTACTGAATAAAATAGAGGATTGACACACATTTGGCTAGACATGATTTATTAATGCGTAGCTTTTGGACCAATCAGATACACAATTGTGTGTTATATTCAACAAATAATCCCTAACACCCCTCACCCAACCAACAAACCATCTATGAGGGTCTATGGGCCCATCCCCCGAAATGCAACTAACACCTCAAAAGGCAGAACAGGCCTCTGGTTACCATGGCAAGTAATGACAAATCATCTGATAACACTGGGTGATTGATTTCAAAGAGCAAGAAAAAATAAATACAAAAGTTTGCTTTACTTTTAAATATGTATCCATTCCACAGATTTGCCTTCACATACACCTTAGAACACTTGGGGGAAAACAATAAATAAATAATCCAGACTCAATGTGGTCCTACTGAATAAAATAGAGGATTGACACACATTTGGCTAGACATGATTTATTAATGCGTAGCTTTTGGACCAATCAGATACACAATTGTGTGTTATATTCAACAAATAATCCCTAACACCCCTCACCCAACCAACAAACCATCTATGAGGGTCTATGGACCCATCCCCCGAAATGCAACTTACACCTCAAAAGGCAGAACAGGCCTCTGGTTACCATGGCAAGTAATGACAAATCATCTGATAACACTGGTTTTATTGCTCAAAGGAATGCGGGCAAAGCAACTCTCACTCATTTCCTCATAGGAAAGACACATAATGCCCATAGAAATGGACTCTTCCCTATTAATTCACAGACAAACAAACCTTTCTATGACCTAACCCTACTGTAAGGAAGTTATTTTCTGTGGCCATGAAAATAAAATTTCTTAAAGTTGATATAAAATTACACTGAATGTTCGCCGGACGAAAAGATTAGTTGATTGTAATATTAATTCTGCCACAGCTGATATAAATAATTGTAATTAATTATAATTCATTGTAATTATTTATATACATTTCCCTTTTTAGCTAATTTGCTACATGTTACACTTTAACTTACACAGCACAAAATGAGTTTTCTATTTGCATTTTTATATGATGCGATTTCAATTTTTCCTTTCTCTTTGGAGTGTTACAAGCTCTTGGTGCATAAAGAAGATCTGTAACATTGCAAAGACTGAAGTCTCAAATCCAAAGAGATATTCTTTATAAAAGTTAAGAGTCAGCCACACCTACCTAAAACGGCTCGTTCTAACACGCCCCCACATACCTACGTCACGATCTGGGAAAATTTGCATAACGCCGCCCAAATGTTCACGCAAAGAAAGAAGGTGTAACTTTTATTCTCACTATAGTATTGCTGCCGCCGCCGCCATGTTGTGGAGATGCTGTGTGTTTCGTTGTGAAAGCGAAACTACTTTGTTTGGCCTTCCAAAAGAGGACGATATCCGCTTCGTCATGCCTAGAGCTGATCCGTGCTGGTCGCTGAGGAAATACATCAACTTAGTGCTGTGGATGCAACGCAACGCGTAAAAAGACAGTATAAGTCATTATAATCCATAATTATGTCCCCACTGGATGCAACGAATGCCTCGTTTATAATGGGTTTTCATGTTTTTGTCTCATCGCTCCGGCCTGACAGGGCATCATCACAATATGCGTAACATTTCCGTCTATCGCTTGAGGTATTCGGCCAATCACAACGCACTGGATAGCTGGCCAATCACAGCACACCTCGCTTTTTCAGACCGATGAGCTTTGTAAAAATCGACGCGTTTCAGAAAGGCGGGGCATAGAGGAGAAACAATAATGTACAGTATGTGGAAAATAATGTGTTTTTTGAACCTTAAACCGCATAAACACATTTCATTACACCAAATACACAAAATACTGTTCTTTTTAGCAGCATCATATGACCCCTTTAAGGTAACTCCCCTTGCAGAGATTTTCCACTGGGAGAGAACAAAGTGTGAATGATTCTTTAGACTGATGTGGTAAAAGTGGGATTTTCTAACTTGTGTTCTTGATCCAAAGACACGCACATGCGCCATGTCATCCAAACAGCTGAAGATGTACTTTCTGGCTTCTTTTGATTTGAGCCCCGTCTCGGTCTCGTGCTCTTCTGTGGACTGAAACATATACAAAATGTATAGCTATTAAACTCAACTTTGATACATGTCCCAGGTCTCGTAATGCATATTTTGTTATTGTGCACAGTTATTCGTTTTCATAGTCTTTCATTAAAATGTGACAATGGATGCTCATATCCAACAACAAATATAAAAAATATACTACAATATTTACACATTAAAGTACAATGTCATGAAAATAATTTAAAAATGCATGAAATATTGTAAAAATCTATATTTTAATACAGATTGATATATTTAAGCAAAATATTTTCTATGCATTTCTTGATTATTTTCCAAGATTGTTTCCACCTCTGAAACACATTTTCTTTTCTGATTTAATAGTGAAAATGATACAGGTGTCTTGGGTGAGTGATGTGCGTGTGTGTGTGTGTCACAGTTCTTGATCTCACTTTAAGTCTCCAGGCCGCATACGGTGAGTCCGACTCCCGGCTAAAGAAGCGAGATGTCTTCGTCCCCACATTTAACAGATGCTCTCCTGGCAGACCCTGCGTCTGAGAAATGTAGCGGATCTGAGGAGAGACAGATGGGAAAGAGTGAAACAGAGCTTGGTGAACTCGATCATTGTTAATGTTTTAACACTGTCCAACGTAAATGGATACGTCAACAAAAGACTGTCAGGTGCCTAGAAACAGCATGTGTTCTCAATAACACATTGAGAACGCAGCACGTGTTCTGAACGTCACGCAGAAACGGGCGATTTATGGAGTCATGCTTGTGTGAAACCCAAGGGAGGTGGCGTGTGGCCATTTTGTGTGCGTTCTTACGTCAACAGCACTATGGTGTGAGAGAAAGATCTATTAGATGCTCAGTGTCACATGGGGACTGCAGAGGTGCAAGACCTGCAGTGGCACATCCTAAAATCAGATCACATGACCCTTTGACCTCTCAACCCAGACTGGGCCAGAATATTTGTGATAGCCTGGCAAGAGAAAAAAAAAAAACCTTTTTGTTCTAAACAGGCCATCATGCAGGAAAGGTTCAGAGAAGGATCAATTGATCCAAAGAAACTCAACACAAAGTCGAGAACATCTGCACCACATCAGCTTGACATTTTTATATTTTAGACTGAAACTTCACGCTTAAAGGTGTATGTCATTTTTTTGACTGTACTAAATACTATAATATGTTTGCAGATATTTAGGAAACACGCTAAGTTCACATACATGTTTCTTTGAAAAACAATGCTGATTCTACTTTGAAATGTGCGTTCTGTGTTGGAATGTCGGTTCTTGTTTTGATCTGTGTGATTCCACCCACTACCAAATTACCCAATAGTATTTGATACCTTGGGTTGCCAGTTGGCAGAAAACACAGTGTATTGCAGCCATGGAAGCTAACAAATGAACTGGGTCAGATATCGCAGATTCTCCCTGATCTAAAAAGCGAGAGAAACAACTCTCTCCAATATTTTGAATTTCGACTGCAGTACCCATTTCAAGCACTAGCTATCAATATTATATACACTGCACCTTTAAAGGGGTGTGAACATAGACTGTAAAAAAACATGGATGTAATATCCATGACGTCACTCGTAGGTGGGTGCATACTTGGGTGTGAAGGACAGAAGGTTTTTTTTTTTTTCATAGATATAGATGAAACTGAAAGCTGAAAATCCCCTCTGCAGCAGATTATGTATGATTTGGAAAGTCCGAATCAGGTTTGAGATTTAGTAGTGAAAAATGACTTAAATTTCAGTCTGTTGCTCACATACAAGTTACTGTATTGTTTCAGATATTAGCATGGACTAATTTAAATATCTTTTGGTGTTTGAGAGGACGTAGCCACTATACGCTTTTGCTGCACAGAAAAGAAGAGTGTAAACTTTCTGCTAAACTTTCCATGAAACAACGAAAATCATATGCGTCAATGATTATTTTCTGGTGCACTGTAACCTTAAGAAAGTTAACAGTAGCTACCATCAGAAAAACTCTTTGCGCACACACACATAACGAAGCACACACAGACACCATAATCCTGAGCTTTAAGACTAATAAACAGGGTCTGCATGAAAAACAGATGAAGAACATTGTAAATTCCCCAGCTGCTGTTCAGACATGAACCCATGAGAAAGAGGAAGAGAAAACATGTTTAACTTCTGGGTAATGAAATGAAGGGCTATACGGAAAGAAATGAAGACATTTGGAGAGGGAGTCAATGTAAGGTCAATGTGGATATGACTGGGGGAAAACGGGTCTCAGATCAGCACAGAGGACAGGAAGTAAGCAGGCATGTTGTATAACGATGCAGGATCTGATAGGAGAGATGAATAATTAGTATTCCAATATCTGACTTCGAGATACACACATCTAATGACACATTACATCGCATAGCAGCCCATAATGATGAATCAATAAATTCCAGTTGTGGTAAAAATCTTTCAGTAGTTTGGGTTATACGTTTCCAGCTTCAGCACAGCTGATTTAAGTACATACAGTATATAATCTATCAATCCATTCTCCTACCACCTATCTGGGACCAGGTCACAGTGGCAGCAGGCTAAGTAGACCTGTCCACATGACCTTTTCCCCAGTAACAACTCCTCCTGGGGGATCCTTAGGGAGATATAATCCCTTAACACTTTTGGGCAAAAAGTCAGATTATACTTCCATAGCCAAACCTTCTATTGAAGCACAGGTTGTTTTTTGGAACATTCTCAAAAAAATCAAATAATACTGGATAGCCTGGTCATCAGGTTTCATCACTTCTGCCTGTCTATATATCTGTATCTCTATATGCATTGTATTTGTGGTAAAACTATATAGAGCAGAGGTAAAACCATAAAAGCTGTAACTTTTAACTTCCTAGCTGTATTCCTTCATGGTAAACTTTCTACCGCAGTAAAACTTATAAGAAAGAACCAATAAACAATGACGTTTTTTCATTGACATTCAAATATCGTATAACTTAATTCATTAAAAACTGTTATCAGCCAACTGGCCAGTGAGTCAGTTTTTATTCTTACTCACATTTGGCACTTGTTGAGTGTTAAATCTGGACCCTGCATGTGTGTTATGTGTATTTTAGCCTCTAAGAGTAACAGCTTTATTTTCAAACAGGGATGTGTCACTTTAGTACTGTAAGAATATGCCATGTCCAAGCCTGCACCCATGGCCACAGTCTGCAAACACACATTTCTTCTACATTCAAGAGCCCTACTAGCCACTTGCTGTAACATTGCGGCAGTGTCAAACGCAGGTTCCACATGCTGGTGAGATGAGGCCCTGCGATTGGTACCATAAGGGGGAGTTCACTTCTTCTATAAATATCTTTTACTGTGTGAGATTAAATTGAACACCCCCGTGAAGGAGGCGTGTGGATTAGGAGTGCAATATTGCACTCCTA